GTTCTCCTCCCTCCGGATGCCGATCAGGCAGACGCCATACCTGTGCCGGGAGCACGACGTGGGCATTCACAGCTGGAGAAAAGTCCCTTTGGGGCTTTGTCCCTGCACAAAGGACCTCACAGCACCTTCCAGGCCCAGCCCCGACCCCCCAGGGACGCAGACTGGCAGATACGCCCTGCCCATCCCTGCCCGTCGCCCCCCTGCCCTCACTTCTTGTGCGCATGGAAGGCGGCGTAGGTGAAGCTCTTCCCCTCGTACTCCATGAAGAACTTGCTGTCGCCCATCCGGATGTGGTAGACCTCGTTGCCTGAGCAGCGCCCGTACATCCGCTGCCACTGCTCCGGGGACTCCTGGCCTTCCCTGCAACGACAGCAGCAGCGTGCTGGGACAGGACCCCCCCGTGGTGCTGGGACGGGACCCCTCCATTGTTCCGGGATGGGACCCCGCCGGTGCCAGGACGGGACCCTTCCCCGGTGCTGGGATGGGACCCCCCCGGTGCCGGCACAGACCCTGGCACGCCAGCCAGCTCCCGGAGCAGAGCCGCACGGTGGGAGTGCTAATAAGCGCTGAAGCTGCCATCTAGACCAACAGGGGTGAGGTTATGGCGGCGCATTTCCACGAGCTGTCAGTGTTCGCAGGCTGAGGACGAGCTCGTATTAATTTCTGATTTTAAGTGCCTTTTTATTTAACGAAAGCTCCTGGGGGGCAAAGAGGCAGGGTTCAGAGCCCGTGTTGGCAAACAGCTCTGAGTGCGGGGCAAGAGCCCTCTGGGAAGGACGTTTCATAACTCTGTTGATGTCACATTACCCAAAATTCAGACATTTCTGGATGGCCAAGGGGCACAGGACCCACACCACCGCTTTACTGGGCTGGCGGAGCTCCTTCCAGCTGTGCTTTATAGAAACCCGCCAAACAGCCTGCAGGGTCCGGGTTTGCACGGGCTGTGAATTAACCTTCCCTCCAGCGGGACCATGCCAGTATAAAGACGACATTTTTATTCCCAGTCTCTGGAAAGGTGGTGTTGGCCAGCCCGTCTGCACTGGTGTTTTCCCCTTACATTATTGGCTTTTCCTCCTGACCTGGCTGGGGGTCCCAGGTCCCAGTGTGCTCCCCCAGACCACCCCCAGAACTCCACCCTCCACCCCTGGGCCCAGACCCCACCCCCCACCAGCTCTGCCATCCCTCCATGCTCAAGCTGGGGCGGCGGAGGCAAGGGCAGGCAGGCAGGCAGGGGCAGGCAGGGGCAGGCAGGGGCAGGCAGGGGCAGGCAGGATCCCAGCTCACATTTATACTGGGGAGCTGGAGGGGGCTGATGCCGATGGGGGGGGGGATGGAAACGCTCCCAGGGGGGAAGCAA